GAGAGAGAGAGAGAGAGAGAGAGAGAGAGAGAGAGAGAGAGAGAGAGAGAGAGAGAGAGAGAGAGAGACTGAATGGCAAAATTAAATATGGGTCAGATTGCGGCCGCGATCTATTTTGCAGTTGTAATGACTTTTTTTAATTTATTGGCCCAGTCATGGCTGAGTGGCAAAAATGGAAAATATGCCGAATCGGTGCGACGATTATTTCGCAGTGTAAATGATTTTTTTAAAATGTTCTATTATTATTTCTGGAAAGAACACGACCTCATCTATGGATTCTCACAATTTCAGATTTTTTTGCATGTTCGTTCGAGCACAGAAAATCGCCAAAGTTGCCTCTTGCAAAACGCCTATTTCGTTGTGCCTGACCTCCCTGTTTTGAGAAGACGGGGCTCAATGCCTGGGCCTGAGGGCCCTTTTGCAGTTCACATGCCCTCACTTCTTTTTGGGGTCCGCTTCTACCCGGGGTCCGGTCTAACGCCCCCCACTTCTTTTTGGGGTCCACTTCCACCCGAGGACCGGTCCTTCCTTTTTCCAAAAGTCCCGGTTCTAGCAGAGCTAGCTGTAGGTAGTCTGCAGTTTTGCCAAGGACCGGTCCCCCAAATTTTTTTGCCCCCTAAGAACCCACTTTGCGTCCTGGTCTCCCGCCGCCAAAAATGCAACACCTTGACACAGACGCGGAAGCCCACTGTACCGCAGCCTAAGGGCTGCGAAAAGCTAGCTCTGGTAGAATCGGGACTTTTGGAAAAAAGAAGGACCGGTCCCCGGGTGGAAGTGGACCCCAAAAAGAAGTGGGGGGCGTTCGACCGGTCCTCGAGTAGAAGCGGACCCCCAAAACAAGTGAGGGCATGTGAACTGCAAAAGGGCCCTCAGGCCCAGGCGTTGAGCCCCGTCTTCTTAAAACAAGGAGGTCAGGCCCAATGAAACAGACATTTTGCAAGAGGCAACTTTGACGATTTTTTGTGCTCGGACGAACATGCACAAAAATCTGAAATTTTGAGAATCCATAGATGAAGTCGTGTTCTTTCCGGAAATAATCATAGAACATTTATAAAAAATAATTGTCGCGCGGATTTGGCACATTTGCCATTTTTGCCACTCAGCCATACCTGGGCCAACTAAAAGAGTACTCCAAATTCAGTGAGTTTTCGCGCTCAGAAGAATGTGTGATGACTCGTAGATTTTCTTGTGATTTTTCCAAGACAAACATTAATAAATAAATAAAAAATCATTCCAACTACAAAATAGATCGCGGCCGAAATTTGACCCATACTTCAATTTTGCCATTCAGCCTCTCTCTCTCTCTCTCTCTCTCTCTCTCTCTCTCTCTCTCTCTCTCTCTCTCTCTCTCTCGTGTTAGCTCTTAGTCTAATTGATTTGGCTACCTTAGGGTTACGTTCCCCGTGCCCACGCGGTAGACAATCATTTATTCTCAGCCGTAAGGCTGCGATTTACTGGGGTTCGGCGTCTGTGTCAAGGTGTTGCATTTTTGGCGGCGGGCAATGTCGGCGCGAATACCCTAACAAGGGTATCCGCCCTTGTTTTTGCAAGTGACCGGAAGTAGGAGTAGAGGTCTAAAGTGTACTGCGCGAGACGCGCCTAGGTCTGTTTGGTTACATAGGTAAGCTGCTTAATTAGAGTAGGGTGGGAGTGGGCACGCGGGATTAAGGCGCGCGCGCAATTTTTCTGCTTTTGATTATGTAACCGGCATAGTTGGCCGGCCTGGCTTTGATTACTAGAAGTAAGAGGTGCCCTTGGTAGGGATAGGTGACCGTTGGTAGTCTAACGTGCGAAGTAGGATGCGGGGCGGGCACGGCGCAAAGAGGGCAAGCCGGCGTAGGGGCCTAGCAGTGGCGTGCCTAATTGGAGGTAGGAATGAGGCCTGGGGGCTGCGCCGCACCTGTTCATATGGAATACCGCGCAGGCTAGTACCAGGCTTGGGCTTAGCCCTATAGGTTATGACGTTGGACTATCACGGCAGAAGTACGGGGTTCGAGGCTATGGGGCAACAGCATGGGAGAGACGAAGCATTAAAGGAATTGAAGGGACTATCTGTGTGACTATCCCTTTTTGCCTTGGTGGGGGAGACCGACCACGGGCCCGCTTGGCGGGACCAGGGGGGATGCTGGTGGGGTCTGCCCCCCCCCTTCCCTCCTTTTTTTTATTTTTATTGTTTATTTATTTGTTATTATTTTCTTTTTCCTATCTCGTCTCATTTGCGACCGGTCCAATCCAAGCGGAAGATATTGCTACTGGGGAATGGACGGGGGCGGTACGGCTACAAGTGCACCGTCCGCCACCCGCGATGTGCTGTGAGAAGGTTGAGTGTGAGCATGCCCGTTGGGATCCGAAAACGGGTGAGCTATGCCTGAGTGGAGCAAAGCGGGAGGAGTCTTGGTGGGTGTACGCAGCGGTACGGACATGCCAACCGGTTGTCAGACCTGGGCTCGAGCTCCCCTAACAGTTGCAGAATAAGACTACCTTGAATTAGCCGGGCCCGCGATCGGTTCCGGGGCTGGTATCGGTTCCGGGGCTGGTAATCAGACCGACTGGCCTAGCACGGTTGGTACACCTGAGTTTGAACACTGCTAAAAGCAGGTGAACAAAAAAAATACTACGCTTGAATTACCTAAGACTGGTCAACCGGTAGCAATATTTTTGGGCAGCGGCCCTGCAATGGTCCTTCGGGACATCCATTAAAATTAGAACAAAGATTAGTATGGCCCCTGCGCAGGGATATCACACACAGATGTGGGACTGTACCAACTGATTTTACGGTTTCTTTGGTCTGGGCATTGCGGGACCTGATCCTGTGCCCTGAAAAATTTTATGTTTAGCTTGTCAGTTTTGGACCACTGAGTTTGATCCGTAGACTTGTAGCTAGTAGCCTTTATGGGGCAGTGCTAGGACGTTCAGCCTCACCATTTTTGCCTGTTTTTCTGCTCTC